CCTTGGGTTGGGGTGCTGTGTTCTGAGGCTGTGGCCATCCATGACCCCTGACCCCAATCCATTTTTCCATGGATTTCTGCAAGTTTAGACTTCCAGTGTAGTCATGGTTGAAGCTGTTCTCACATACACATGCATTTACATGTCCAGAGAATATTGAAGTGAGCCTGCGCTAGGTTGGAGCTGACTCTCAGTAAGAGCCTTGACACCAAGAGGCTGGAGTAAATATTCTGGGGAAGCTGTGGGTGGGTGTGCAGGTGTGGCTGTGAGAGGAGAGAGGCTTCCAGGAGCAGCAAGGATGTTGTCACACACGCTGAAGGTGTCCCGTGGCCCCAGCAGATGCAGGATGTGTGGACCCTGGGCAGGGCCCTGGGGACATGGTTTTGACCTGATAGGGAAGGGCAGTCGTGGAATACAGCATGCGTGTTACCGTGGGGCAGGGCGGGGGCTGCATCGGGGTGAGCTCTGAGGACTGTCCATCTCCCAGCTCCTCATATTGCAGCGCCCTGTCCCTCTCCTCAGCCCTTTGTCCACCGTCCCACAGGGAGGGTCCTGGTGCTGCCTGTGCCACACAGAGACTCCCAGGCCTGCAGATCCAGCTGGGAGAGGCAGGAGCTCCTTTGTCCACCCTTCCCAGCCACCTCTCACAGGCTGGCCATGTGCCTGGTGTTGGCATCTGCAGCAATTTTACAAAAAAACTGTGAGGGAATAACTCCCTTGAGCTGTTTAAAATATATCCCTAAATCATTGACTCTTATACAAAAAAGGAGGTTTACTTGTCTGTTGTTGAATTGAGACTGGGTAACATCTTGACCAGTTGAATTCACCTGGCTTAGTACCATGCTGTCTTTCTGGGACCGGGCCTAATGAGCTGGTATCTTTCACTTCCTCTCTATTGGATGGTGCTGCAACCTGAATATCTTTGTCCCTCTGAAATTCATATGTTGAAATCTTAAACCGTTAGTTGATAGCATTAAGAGGTGGGAGCTTTTGGGAGGTGAGTTCAGGAGGACCCAGGCTTTAGGAATAGCATTAGTGTCCTTATAGAAGATGCCCCAGAGAGCTCCCTCTCCCCTCTCACCAGATGAGAATATGGCGAGAAGATATCATGTATGGGTCAGAAAGGCAGCTCCCATGACACCAAATCTCCTGGCACCTTGATTTGGACTTCTCAGTCAGTGAGAAACACATTTCTGTTTTTATAAGCAACTTGGTTTATGGCATTATGTCGCTAGCAGTTGAGACAGACTAAGAGTGCTGGTGATTTTGGAGCCCTAGGCGCCATGCGTGAAGGAAGCCTAAGTGTTGCACAGGGAGAGGAACTGAGCTCACCTTTGAGGACCGGCTGGAGAATGCAAAACAACCAGGTTTCTAGGGGAAAAAATTCTGATTTGCAGTGTTTTAAAATGTCTGTTCTTAAAATTGTCCCAACTATGGATCATTGAACAATTATCTCACCAAAAACGCCTCTCTCATGAACCAGCAGGATCCAACCCCAGCACGTCACACTGTCCCTTCCTTCAGTCACGCCGGAGCTCCCAGCTGAGCCAGCTCCACCTGCCACCTGTGCACCAGGGTCTCTGCCATGAGATCTTTAGATATCAGCAGAACCTCTCCTCTGATACCCCTGGAGGGAGCCGGGACCCTTTGCAAATGTATTAGTGAAGACCTTATTGTGCTGTTTTAATCCTCTAAATTTTGTGGTGGCTTTTTACAAAGCAGCAGGTGAACAGGGAGAGAGTTCTCACTGTTGCGGAGAGAAGTTGGATTTGTGCACTTATTGTATGTAAACTTTTGCATCTCTAAAATATTGATGGATCTTCTCACTTTATTTCCAAACTGTAACACAGAATTCATCCTGGTGGGGGAATGGGTTTGTGGACTTTTTCCAGGGACCTAGTGACCCCTTTCAACTGTTCTCAGGTTAAATTCTTCCTTGGGGAGCAGGGGCAGTATGGGCCAGGTTGGTGTTGCCAACCTCTGCCCTCAGTGACAGACTCAGGGGAGGGCGTGGGACAACAGGGAAAGGAGTAAGGATTTTCTTTGGGAGATTAGCTATGATGGTCATAGAGAGATGACCACAATTCACATGGCTGTCACCTGGGGAGACAGCCCAAAGTAAAATCAAGAGAAAGAAAGGTGGGGGAAAGGTGAAGACAATCATGTAATGCATGCTTTGAGTCCTTGGAACAAGTATTTCCTGAAGCCAGGATTCTCCCTCAATTCCAAGATATAGGAGTCAAAATGTTAACTCAGCTTGTCATGGTTTGACATTTGAATTCAAGACCCTGCTAAGATGCCTGAAAAACATCAAAAAAACTCAGAGAAACTGAGGCAAAGAGGGTGCAGTGCACAAGGACAGGATATAAGGGCAGAGGACAGGGGTCCCAGGTGCAGGCTGGGCATCAGGCTCTCATTGATCAATAGGGAAGGAGGGACGGCTACATGAGAGGCTGGAAGGACAGCAGGTGAGGTCAGGCATGGGGAGCTTCATAGTTGATGTTCAAGCTGGAGGAATTCCAGGTGGTGGAAGGATTTAGTGGATGGCCGAGGGTCATCCTCGATGGGTCGAGGGCTGGGGCAAAGGGGAGGGGGCGTCACTGTCATCCAGAAAGCACTGAGAGGTTAGGAGGGTGGTCTGCCAGGAAATATTAGAGTGGACTCTTTCCCTTAGTTTCTTTATGAGTTATCTGGCTTTTAGTGCCAAATGAAGAAATACAGAACTTCAGAAAAGGAAACGAGTACTCTTCTAATCCCTTACATGCTGCTTCTGTTTGTAAGTAGAGTTCAGAACAGACAAACAAGTTTATATTGTTCTTGTAAAATAAAAATTTCACCAAGACTTTTAAGAAATGTCAAGGAAGCGTTTATTGAAGACTGTTGCAATAGGAGTCAAAACGCTGTAATAGGAAGAGCCGTTGGACTCAGCTTTCCTCAAGCCAAAGGCAGGAGAATTTCAGCCCTGGGGGGAACTAGCAGGATAGTTGTGGAGGTCCTTAGGAGGGAAGTTGGCCAGTGAGATTGGGCCATCTGTGTTTGCTAATTTGTGCTTGCTGGAGTTAGGCTCCCACCCTCTCACAGAGACAGGGCTGCTGTCCTCTTGGGTAATCGCATTTATAGGAATGAGGCACCTGACTTATTCTTTATTTATGATTCCACCACACTAGTGGTTCGAGGTAGAAAATCTCCTATATGTCATCAGTGAACATTGAGTGTTTGTGAACAGCTCTGAGCCTCACTTGAGGCGAGCAAGTTACCCTGGTTGTCTGGAGACCCTCACCCCTCTCCCTGCTTTCTCTGTCCCTAGAGTTTGCAGCTGTCGGTGCCCACCCTGGACTGCAGCAGCAGAAGCTGCAGGTGGTGCTCCCAGTGTGCCTTTTTCCACACAGCAGAGCAGGGATGCTCCATCCTCGTCAGCCCCTTTCCCTTGGACTGATGGATGATTCTCGGCACATCAGCCTGAATTCGACTCTGTCCTTCTCTCTGGCAACGCCCATTCCTCTATAATCAGTGGAGGTCGACCCGATCCTGCATATTTCTTGCCCTGAAATTATTCTCTCCATCAAACATTCCACTCTACCCCTTCTTTTAATCTACCCTTGTCTTAAATACCTCTATGTTTCACGTGCAGTCTTTTCTTGGCTCAAAGTCAAAATGGTGTCTTTCTGTCTTCTAAACTCCTGTTGCTTCATGAAACCACATTTTCCCAAGGATATTTTTCTATATTTTAGCCTTCAATGTTTTTAATTGGTTTTTTTTTTTCATACTGTCCCAGGAACTTGATATATGGACTGCTTTGCCTCTGTAGGTTTCATTTTTTCCTATACATTTTAGTAATAACCCAATTTTATATCATTATGTAATATTGGATGTAATTAATTAATTTTATCCTAATTAATTTATTGATCTCCTACTATGTGCTAGCCAGTCATCTGGACACTGTGGTGTGACAATGCGCAGAACATGCCCTTCCCTTCTAGAGTAGGGAGAGAAATGTTACAGAGAGTGAACGAAGTGTACAGAATGTGAGATGGTTACAATTCCACAGTTAGCAATAAAGAGAACAAGTGGGATGGAGATTGCCCAGGAAGCCTGCTGCAATTCAGAATTGAGAAATCAGGGAAGACCGCAGTGACAAAGTGAAATTTTAGCGGAGACCCCAGGTAGTTATTTAAATTATCTACAAAGGTAGTTATTTAAATGATCTTCATCTATGTTGATGCAATGTATTTATCATGCCTGATTGTTTCTAAACACATCTAATACCTTAAAGAATAGATAAACATGGGCAGATGCGGGGGCTCATCCTCGTAATCCCAGCACTTTCGAAGGCCAAGGCGGACGAATCATGAGGTCAGGAGATCTAGACTACTTTTTAAAATTAAAGGACAAATAAACATAGCCTCTTAGATCTATCTTTCTGTTGAGCCAACAACCACTTTTTGCCTCTCATCATAGTAATTTCTATTTTGGGGGTATCATTAGGAATGCACTGAATTTGTAAAGTTCAAACTATTCCAATTAACACATATCTTGCTAGGCACAGTGGCTCAAGCATGTAATCTGAGCACTTTGAGGAGGGCATATGCCTTAAGCTCAGGAGTTCACTACCAACCTGGCAACATGGTGAAACCCTGACTCTACAAAAAATACAAAACGTTAGCAGGGTGTGGTGGCACATGCCTGTAGTCCCAGCTACTCAAGAGGCTGACGTTGGAGGATAACTTGAACACAGGAGGTCAAGGCTGCAGTGAGCCGAGATTGCACCGTGTTCCAGCTGTGGTGGCAACGTGGGACACCATCTCAAACAACAACAAGCCCAGTTATATTCATTTCTGCTATTTTGTTATTGCTCTGTGATGCTCAAATTGTGCATCATTGGAGTGCAAAGGCCAGTTAACTTGATGTGGATCAGAATCCTCTATGCAAAGAAACCATACGAACCACCATATAAAAATCAAGAAGAAAAAAAGAAAAGAAAATTGAAAAGGTCAAACACACTGAGTTTAATGCTTGAGCTTTATTTTGGAGTGAGAAATTTAGAAAGACACAAGGTACACAGAGTATAATGTTTTTCCTTTTCCAGGACCTTGGTTGGAATCTTGCAGTGGTTTGGTTTCTATCTGGGAAGCTCAGCGACAGCAGAGCCTGTAGCTGCGGCCACCCTGGGTGCACCTCCCGGCGTGGGACTCAGGGTAATCGCAACAGCCAGTTCGGCAATAGCAGACGGCTCTCGCCCGAGAACCTATGGAAAGAAGAGAAGGTCAGGCACAGTAAGGGAGGGGGTGGAAAGGACAGGCAGAGCCAGACTAACTGCAATAGCCTAAATAAGAGACACAGTACCAGTCATGTGAGGATGAAGAAAATTCATGTCTCTGATGTAAATGACAAGAAATCTTACTAGCTATGTGTTAGTCATGCAAGATCATAGTTTTTCCCCATCTGAGTCTATCCAGTACATGTTTATCACCTGCTCTCTGATCCAACAATCTACCTCTCAACCTCAGGGTTACCTACTCTTCCTTCTGCCTCACCCATACCTCTCATCTTGACCTCCATGTGTGACCTCCATGTCCTAACAAGGCCCCTGATGCAACTGGATCTGTCTCTGAGATGCTGTGTTGTGCATGCTCGTGTCATGGGCTCAAATACTTTGGTGCTCTAGGAGTCTTTGAAGACCTTCCAAATTCAAATTCCTCGTTCTCTTTTTTATTGACATTTTACTTATTTACTTATTTTAATTGACAAATAATAATTGTCTATATGTATGAGACACGATGTTTGGATCTAAGTATGTATTGTAGAAAGATTTAATCAAGCTTATTAGCCTACATCAAAACACCCATAGGTTCCTCTCCAGGTTCTAAAATCTTCTCCAATGGACGAAGTAAAATATTCTCTCTATAACCAAGTCTACCCATTTAGACCCACAAAGAGTTATTCAGTGTAGCTCTTTCTATCCTAAAAGTAGCAAATGTCACAGAAATATCTTGGAACTAAAAGTCTTTGAAGAAAGAAAACCGTTTAAATGTATTTGGTTCTCACTATTTAATTTATAGATGAGAAAATCAAGGTCCAGGAAGATTAAGTAAAGTCACCCCTGTGAGGTAGACCTTTCCATTCTTGACCCCAGCACCTGTCTCCTCCAGTCCTTTCTTTCTAGATTCTGCAAATCTGCGAGATTGATGTCTCCTACCCGAGGCCATAAAAGCAGAGAGTCCATTTCCTGCAAAGGAGACTGTAACGTCCTTGTTGTCTTCCTCAGGCTGGTGCTGGGTTACAGCCTTATCAGCTCCTGTCTGGAGTGACTCAGCCTGGGCCTGCAGGGCCACCAGGAGAATGGCAGCAAGGATGGCAAGGGTCCTCATGGCTGGGGTCACCTGGAGGAGGGACAGCAGGAGTGGATACGTGGGGAGTGAGGAGTCGGCCTGGATTTATAGCTCTGCTGGGAGAAGGGCTGAGACAGAAGCTGCAGTCAGAGGAGGTGGGCATGTGCTTGGGAGGGGAAGGGCCACCTTTGCCCTCAAGGTCCCTTTGATGCCCTTCTTTGTCCCACCTTTCATCACCGCTTGAGTCTGTGTGCTTAGTGCCTGTTCTTGATCCAAGCTGTTAATGATGATAAGGACACTACTATCATGTTCTGTTTCCCATCTGCTTGAGTATTTACTTTATGTGTTCAAAAAAGAAAAACAACAGTGCTTTCATTCAATAAGTTTGGTGATTAAATGCCTCTTGTTTTCTGAAGATGGTCCCTGGTACCCTCTGGATGACTCTCTGGGGTCAGACCCGGGTCCCAGTGGAATAGAGAGTTAATGCATTGCAGGATTCAAAGATATTACTAACCTCATGTAGATTAGTAATATCTTTTGAGGTCTTGAGGTGAGTAGTGTCCTGCTGGGGCCAGTGTGGAGAGGACAGCCTTGTCAGGCTATGGGGGACATGAGTTCAGGAGAATAGTCGGCCACGTTGATCAGATTAAAATCAAAATTCAGATTTATTTCAAGAAGTCAGTGTGATCTGAATGCATTACGTAAAATGCGTACCAGGTACTTCTCTCCACTTTGAGGAATACCAAAATAATTTAGGCACCTAAAGCCCCCTTCTGAGATCTTTTATTTTTCTTTAGTTATGGAAGATTTTAAATCATGAACAAGGAACAACATTCAAAAGGTAGAAGAAGTAATGAGCTCCCATTCCTGCCCCCAGGCCTTCAGCTCTGACCCAGGAAACCAGCATTATTAACAGTTACACACAGTACTCGCACTTTGCTTTTTTTCCCTGTATCATGACCACTTTGTATATCAAAACACATGGAATGCTATTATAATTTTTAATAGCCTTATACTATTCCAAGGTTTGTATATGCCATCACTTATTTTTTTCTATTGATAAAATATTACAAAATTGTTACCATTTGGTTATTCTTAAACTTTTACAATAACAAGTAAAGTTCCAGTGATTATCTTAATATATGTCCTCTTACCTATATGGATAAAGTATATAGAACTAGAATTGCTGTGTCAAAGAATGCATCTTAAGCCAGGATGGTAGGTCTAGCTACTTGAGGTGTTGAAGTGGAAGGATCATCTGAGCCCAGGAGTTCAATACCAGCCTGACAGCATAGTGAGACCCCTTTCTCTTAAAAGAAAGAGACTATATCTTATAGATTTTGAAGATATTACTGCATACTTCTATAATATTACCACACTTGATCCAAATCCTCTGGTGCTCAGTGGGCCCTTGGGGGGGACTCTGCATTTGAATTTTCATTTAATTTTTTTTAAATTTATTTATTTTTAATTGAAAATAATTTTTGTGTATATTTATAGGGTATGATGTGATGCTTAGATGGATATCCACATAGTAGAAATACCTGATCAAGGTAATTAAGATAGCCATCACCTCACCAATTTAACCAATTTATTTTATTTTATTTTATTTTATTTTATTTTATTTTATTTTATTTTATTTGAGACAGAGTCTCACTCTGTCACCCAGGCTGAGGTGTAATGGTGTGGTCTCAGGTCACTGAAACCTCTGCCCCCTGGGTTCAAGCGATTTTCCTGCCTCAGCCTCCTGAGGCTGGGGCTACAGGCATATGCCACCATGCCTGGCTAAGTTTTGTATTTTTAGCAGAGACGGGGTTTCACTGCGTTGGCCAGGCTGGTCTCAAACTCCTGACCTTGTGATCTGACTGCCTCAGCTTCCCAAAGTGCTGGGATTACAGTCATCAGCCACCATGCCCAGCCTCCAACTTAATTTTTTTTAGAAGAATTACACATCAATTCCTTTAGCAGTTTGAAATATACAATAGATTACTATTTGAAATATACAATAGATTACTATTAAGTGCCAGAGATAACCAAGACTTACTCCCGGGCATAACTGAAACTTTGTATCCTTGGCTCAACATCTGCCCTTTTCCTGTCCTTCCCTCTCACCCACCCCCAGCCTCTGATAACCACGTTTATGCTCTGGTTCCATATATAAGTGGTATCATATAGTATTTGTCTTTCTGTGCCTGGTTTATTTTATTTAGCACATCGTTCTCTGGTTCCATCCACGTTGTCATGATTGAAGAATTTCCTTCTTTTCTAAGGCTGTATAGTGTACCAACTTGCATATTTACCATATTTTCTTCATCCATTCATCCACTGAAGAGCATTTAGGCTGATTCCATATCTTGCTTATTTTGAGTAATGCTGCAAAGGACATGGGAGTGCAGGTTCTTCTTTGATGCAGTGATTTCAGTTTCTTTGGAGATATACCCAGAAGTGGGATTGCTGGATCATATGGTAATTTTATTTTTAGTGCTTTGAGGAACCTCCATATTATTTTGCAAAATGGCTACACTAATTTACATTTCCACCAATGGTGTACAAGGGGTTCTTTTTCCTTTATATACTCACCAACAGGTATTATTTGTCTATTTCTTAAAAGCCATTCTGACAGATGATTACCAGTGTGCATTAATTTGCGTTTCTCTGATAATTGGTGATGTTGAGTATGTTTTCATATATCTGTGGGCCAGATCCATTGCCCATTTTTAAATTGAGATATTGTTTACTTCTTATTGAGTAGTCTGAGTTCCTTACATATTTGAGATATTAGCCCCTTGTCAGATATATGGTTTGCAAATACTTTCTCCTAGTCCTTGGGCCATCTCTGCACTTCGTTTCATTTCTGTGCAGAAGTTTTTTAGTTGATATAAACTTTTTTGTCTATTTTGCTTTTATTGTCCATGCTTTTGGAGTCCTGTCCTAGAAATAACTGCTCAGAGAAATGTCATAAAGATTTTCCCTCATGTTTTCTTCATGTAGATTTACAATTTCAGATCTTTTATGTAAATTTTTAATCCATTTTGAGTTTTGTGTACAGTATGGGATAAGTGTCTAATTTCATTCTTCTGCTTGTAGATAACTAGTTTTCCTTACACCTTTTATTGAAGAGAAAGTCCTTTCCCCATTGTGTGTTCATGGCATCTGTGTTGAAATTCAAATGACCATAAATACCTGGGTTTAGTTTTGGGCTTTCTACTCCTTTCCTTTGGTTATTGTGTCTTTTTATGCCAGACCATGTTGTTTTGCTTACAGTAACTTTATAATACATTTTAAAATCAGAGAGCATGATGCCTCTAGCTTTGTTAGTTTTGCTCAAGACTGCTTTAGTGAGTCGGGGCCAATTCTGATTTCATACCAATTTTAGTAGTCTTTTAATTTCCATGAAAACTTGCATTGGAATTTTGATGGGGATCTACAGATCAATTTGGGTAGTACAGACATTTTAATAATAGTCATTATTCGAATCCATGAACTCAAGATATCTTTCCATTTATTTGTGTCTTCTTCAGTTTTATTCATCAATATTTATAGTTTTCAGTGTACAGATCTCTTGCCTTTTTGGTTAAATTTACTTCTAAGAATTTCATTTTTGAGAGCTACTATAAATGGGATTGTGTGGGCTTCTAAACTCTTTGTGCCAGTCCAAACTCCTGTCTTTATTTTTTGTGACTCCTACAAAATTACAGAGCATCAAGTCATGCTATTGCTTTGAGAGAGTACAATAGAATCCAGACCCTTAGAATACAGTGGAGAGGTTGAGGTGTTCGATATGCATATCAGTTTCTTCTTTCCTTGCAGTGAAACAAATATAGTGTATCTCTTACTTACTCTGCCTTACGAAAAGGAGAGGATCTCAAGCAGATCTGTAACATCTATAATATTTATTTGACTTGGTGAATTAACAGGGAGACTGGGAGGGACTGAACTTCCTGCGTCAGTGATTCCACCTTTCATGGCCCTCGTTTTGCCCTGGTCAGGGCCATTTAGCACCGGGTTTTAAACCATCTGTATTCGTACTGCTTCTCTATTTCTCACTAGATGTTGCTGAGTTTGCAGATAGCATTCCACGATTGCTTCCCAGCCTTCATTTCTCCAGCATTGTCTCACTGAGTCTTTAGGAATGATTCAAGAAACAATTTGGGACATTTTTATTCCAGTTCTAACCATCCTCCATGAATTCTGTCACGTGTTTGATCACCCAGAGTCCTCATCAATTAGAGAAATTGACATCTTGCGTCTCCTTCCTTCTCTGACCCCAAAATTAATTGGGTGAGCAGAAAATCTGAAAAGAGAAATGGGTGGTTTAAAAACCACTGTCCAGGCCCTGTGGTGTGACAGGCAGAGCTGAGCGCTGCTCCAGCCAGAGGATGCCCGGTGGCCCATCTTCTCAGGACCTGTCGGGAGCCCATTGCTCAGCCTTGGACAAACTCTGCTGCCAATCATCATGTTTCTCACTTCTTTCTGGCAGAAGTATTTCTAGAGAACTCCACTGGGCTGGGCATGGTGGCTCCGGCCTGTAATCCCAGCACTTTGGGAAGCTGAGGTGGGCAGATGATTTCGGGTTAGGAGGTCGAGCCCAGCCTGGCCAACATGGTGAAACTCCTTCTCTACTAAAAGTGCAAAAATTAGCCGGATGTGGCAGCAGGTGCTGGTAGTCCCAGCTACTCAGGAGGCCGAGACACAAGAATCACTTGAACCCGGACAGCAGAGGTTGCAGTGAGCCGAGCTGTCCCACTCAAACTCCTGGGAACATTTTAGCAGTGACCACCTGCTAAGAGTAGCTATGCCCACTCTAGCCTGGGCAACAGAGTGAGACTCAGTAGCAAAAAAAGAAAAAAGAAAAAAAGGAAAGAAAGAAAACTTCACTGACATTATGGAAAATAATTTGTTTATTAATGTGTTTGTAAATAATCATTTAAAAGAAAATACCTTTCCCGTTCCTTTTTTTCTCTAACTGCAGCAAGGTGCCCATTATCTGTTGTCCTTTTGACTTCAAAAACCTACTGCCATTTAAAATAAAGCCTGAAGAACTGCAGAACCATTTTTCTTGTCCTTTACTCTGA